CTAACTCATTTTTTAACGAGTTATGACGTCATCGCTATGTTTTTCAAATAGCAATCCCCCATTCTTATTACGGAATATAAAAGATTTTTTTCTGAATTTAATACAATAGTTAGTTTATTAATTAGTTTATTAACAGCATATGAGTTGAATTGTCGGAATCCTTCCGACTATTTCCTCCTTTTCTAACAACAATCCCATCATATCCCTTAATACTGCATATCATGAAAATTGTAATTTATCATAAGTAAATAAAATGTACACCTTTCATAAACTGAAATGAAGTTAATTTAAAAATTAATCTAACACATGCGCAGTAGAAAATAAATAAGTAGATTGCAGATCAATGAACGTGTGTGCTTAAACAAAATAAGTTAATTAAATCTTTTGGTAGTGAATATTTTTAATTTTAATATGTTTGTTAAGAAAAACGTTGTAATATTTTGAGCTTATGTAATACCAATTACACCAAATTTAATGTAACATGCATCTTAAATGGAATAATATATCCTTTTATTTTTTTCTTATTGCTTAGAGCCGCTGAAGATGATTGACTACAATCGAAACATGTAAGGCCGTTTTTAAATAATAAAATATCAAGTTAAGAAAGAGAATAAACATTTTATTTAAATAATATTGTTATTGGTTACATAAGAAAAACTTCGAGAAAAAATACTTTAAAGTTTAATTACTTCAAATTTGCTTGAAATGATGAAAATAGCAGTAGCCATGAGTAATTATGATAACCATAAATTTTAAGCAATTCGTTAAGTGTCAAAAACTAGTTAAAGCTTATTGAAATATAGTTGTTATTGAAACTACCTTGTTGGAATAACTGCAGTTGGAATTGAGTTGGGTCAACGTTATCGCGAAATCTGACCGTTATGGAAGGGATGATATCGTTTTGAAAAAATCCAAACATCTCTCTTCAATTAAGGTTTCCTCAAAAAAGTAACGGACCAGAATAGTATCCTGTATTTCGCTCCAAACATTGTTTTTTTGCGGATATTGGGTGTTCGACTCTCTTGTCCAATGTGGATTTTGGGCGGCCCAATACTGACAATTTTGTCTATTTACCTGTCAAGTGGATGTAAATTTCCTCGTCGAAAGAAATTATGCTTTTGACGAAGTCTTTGTCGTCGTTGCAAAATTTTTGTAAAGGGATGATATTTTGCGGTTTTTAAAATTTTGTGAATCGTTGATTTACTAACGGCCAGATTTAACATGGTTTTCTTGCGCAGCTAAAACCACGTTTTGTTGAACCTCTCCTAAAACATTTGGTCGGCTAGACTTCGAGAAATCTCGTAGATGCACATTATTTTTAAATTTTAGTCGCAGCTCGGCTCACCATACTTTATAATGAGTTAACGATCAGGATATGTTGCAGTAAAGAGGTGAAACTACTTACTAAATCTGTTTTTGACACTTAGAAAATTGTTTAAAATAATTGATTACCATAGTTACTCATGGCTACTGCTATTCACTCTTTCCTTTAAGCATTTTTTATGCCTTCTTTGCGTAAAATGGTTCTTTGTTTGACTTTTCTATCAAACTGCTGCCTATAAGGATTTAAGATCTTGGGACTGCGGTATTGGAATTCGATATAGCAGCCACTACTTTACAATTTGGGTATATGTTTTGGATCATTGTGCTGTTAAAAATTAACTGGAGGCAAAGTTGCCCTTTAAAATTCTTAAATAAACTATTTAGTTCATTACTGAATTAATAAACACCACATTGTGGAACTTGACGTCGCCATACAACAACATCAGACCATAACTGCATCTCCACCGTGTTTAATAGTGTACTTCTCATTAAACTCATCATTTTTATTTAGTTATCACCGCATTTAGGTGCCATACTTTTGATAAGTTTTCGTTTCCAAAAATATCAAACTGTCCTTTTGTGATATTTCGTTTGCTATTTGAACTGCAGTTGAAGTGGAATTTGCCTTCACTTCTCTTATAACGGATGTTTGTAAACCACTTTCGCCGTCCAACGCATTAAATCCTCTACAGAAAGATGTCAAGCATATTTACCGATATTTTTTTTATCGTGCAATTTCAAAAAAATAATACAGACGAACCTGTATAACTGGGAATTCTGGAGGGGCAGCTTTGATTTCTACAGGATTATATATATTTCTGATTATCCCCAAAATTATCCCCAACGAGAGGTTTACCAAAGAAAAATTAAGCCGTGCAATTTACTGCAATCAGCGGCTGTTTAGCCACATATACACTCTTTTTAGGGCCAACAATCGTATGACGAAAATTTTCTGCATAACAAGCTGATTGAAATGACATATTTAATAATCATTAAGTATTGAAAACTTACTTTTATTGCAATCATAGAGATCGCATTTTAAAGGTTTGTTACTTTCACAATTTAGTCCATTTTGCAGTTTATTATGTTCAACCTTACAGATAATCTGTTTTTAATCTATGTTTTAATTCTGTTGCAGGCATACGTCATGCTAGCCTCTATAAGCAGCCGCAGTTTTGGCGGAGTAGACAGCATACCAGAAGTCAGGGAAAGCAGCAACAGCAAACAAGACGAGTCCAACGATTCTTTCTAATTGAAGAGGCACAACACTGCCGAAATATAACTAACTGTTTATTACCTTTAATAAACAGCAACCACACCAAGGAATTGCAGGTAATTCAAAAGAGAAACTGGGCAATGGTCGGGTCGACAAATAAAGATTGACGAATATGGCAAAAGATTCCAGATGTTGGAGAAGTAAATAAAATATAAAGGAGAACGCTTGAAGAATTGGCAGAATAATGTAAGAAAATATAGATGTGAGCAGCATAAATATAGAGGAAATAACCTAAGGTAAAGAAGAACCTGGCAGTCACCATCACAAAGACTGTAAACAATGTTTTCGTAAAAATTTTTAGGGAATTAATGTTTGATTGTATTGAGTTCTACGAAATAGCGGCAGAAGTGTTCAAAGGACGTGTCAAAATGGCAATGTTCTATTCATATACAAAAACCAAAAAAAGTATGAAATATTGTCCACTATTTTAAAAGTAAGAATCTTCCGTCGAACTTGCATCATTATCTGTATATATAGATAATCATTTAAAAAAAATCACATGAATGCACTTTACGAAAAAATGTCACTAAAACGTTAACAGACGTGGAAGAATAGTACACTTGTCGTAGAAGAACTTGTGGTCATCATTGCCTAACAATGATACTTTACTGCAACAATGAAAAAGAAGATGAGTAGGATTTAAAAAGTTAGTTAAAATTTTGATATTTCCTTATTACGGTAGATTTTCTATCTTCTCTATTATCATACTAACCCTGATCCAGCAAATTGTCCACCACGAGTAACCTTTCCACTACAATCTTATCAATTACCTTCGCTGTTGTGGAGGTCACACATTATTTGTTTTGAAAATTACGCTTGACTCATACACTTCTATAATAAACGCATCCATTCATCTCTCATAATTTGATACCCACAATGTGTTGCTCACCATTCCATCAACTTCATATCTCGGTCACGCAATACAAATTCACACATATCCACAATATGCACAAGCTTCAACATACAACCGTAAAATTTGCTGTCATTAGTGCTTTCATCAACCATTTATTCATCAGTTTTCCACTTTGATCTCCAATCCTATCACTTCACAAGTGATGCCAGGCGTCAAAGTTTATGATCCAAGGGTAATGAAATATATGTATCTAGCCGTTTTCCTCGGCTTATGTATCAAGTTCAAGAAACTATATGTTGACCCTATCTGCCCAAATATCACAAACAAAGTGTGATAGAACCTAGAATATTTGTCTGAACCTCATATCGAGAAAGGATCACGTTGTCTGTGCTGATTAAATAAATATTAACCAATATTAACATAATATAAATATAATTCCTAACAATAGGAATACCTAATTGTATAATCATTGTAGAAAAACATTATGTATAACCTAATCCTTAACATAAGTTTTAACTTTTTTTATGGGGTCATCGATACGAACGAATGGACCATGATAAATATTATATGATAAAAATCCGTAATGTTATTTAAGCAAGTATAAACCATATAAAACTTCATCAATTCAAATGTTACTTCATCAGCAATTTTTTTCATTAACATAACTAATTTGTTTTGCTGTCAATTAACATTTTTACCGTCGATAGACATCTTTATAAGAAGTATCTTCGGATTCACGTACCATTATCAAATAAATCACTCTAGTACTCTACCGATGACGTCATAATTTCAATTTTCTCCAATGCTACCCTTGAAATGTATGTTAAAACCATAATAAATTTCTAAAATTCAAACACACAAGGTTGAAGATTACTACTGTTGTAGTACTAAGGCTTTTACACACATAAATGACGTCAAGCCTCCTATACTATAAGACTATACTATCCTGTTGATCTTTGTTGTATTGTAATGTTAATATTATTCCAGAAACTTTGGGTGGAAACACTCACCTAATTGTAAGTCAGAACCGACAAAACCCGTTATTTTTGCTTAAAAATAAAAGTAACTGAACCGGTATATTTATTAATTAAACCGGAATAAAATCCGAAATAAAAACCGGAACGAAACTATTTTTTAAAATAGTTGTATCAATAAATGTATCAGAAAATTATTAAAAGTTTTTTATTAAATTTTTAATCTATTAAAAGAAATTATCAGATTTATACTAAATTAATAAAAAAAATGTTATCATGGAGTAAATTTCCTAGAAATCCTTGATAAAATTAATGAAATTATAAAAATGTTTATTTATCGTTAACCAGTCATATTCAAACCGAAATAAAAAAAATCTTGCAAAAAATAAAAGTTAAAAAATGTTAGGTTTTCTTATGAATGGCCTTGAGCATTCCTGATTACATTTTTTATATGGCTTATAAAATGTCAAAAAAGTTTCGCAATTTCATTCTTCTGCTCAACCAGCTAACCAATAAAATAAAACAGTAGGAGAGAAGTTTGCTGTGACTGAAATAAACTGGGTTGAATACTTACCGAGATCCGAGCAATGTCCTGCTCAGCTGTGCGACGCTGCCGGATTTTCGCTTTCAGCTTTGGCAACCTCGCGGCAGCAGCTACACTCTACACAGCTATCGATTGTAGAGGATGCTGGCTCTGGCTGGCTCCGCACGGATAGCACACCGTACACAGACACACACACACCCACCGTAGCCCCTTTTTCTTCGCCAAAGCAAAGACGTAAAAAAGGAGATGGACCAATTTAAAAACAGAACAAAAAAAGATAAGAAAGAAAACGTAAAAACTGAAATGAACTATAAAAAACAACGGTTTTTGCCCCTCCCAAAGGTCGATCACATAGCCACGGTTTTCACTCGTTTTAACGGCGAACACATCGCCCTCTCCCAGTGAAAGTTACTTCTATACGCGTACTCTTTAAGTTACATCAGCTCTAAACGCGCTACCCAAAATAAGGAATGAACAATTTGTCGCACCTTGAAAACCCTTTGTCGAGACGAGAATTGACGCAATCTGTTTGCGCAATGAGTCATACGATTGCGGATCGTCTGGGTTTTATGTTTTTGTTGTCGTTTTTTTTTTATTATATTGGACGCGTTTTGCACAATCGAGGCACAAAACGTCCTAGCACTTTAGCATTTGGAGGCCAACTAATCGTTTCTCCTTCCTTCGAAACTCCAACGGACTTTGTGAACATGCGCGGTCGATCGCCAGTTTTCCCCTTCTCATCGACTTTGCACAGCTGATTTCCACATGACGCCACAATATCACGGCATATAGTGAGAATATGTATATGTATAAGTGGTTTGTAGTGTTCCATAACCACTCACAATGTTTTCAAATGCCACGGAATCTATTACAACATTTATTTCGTAATCTTGTTTACGTTGTGATGTAAAATGGTTTACTTTAATAATTATTTTTCTTGATTTTACTTACCACACAATTCTCTTTATTAATACACAAATTATACTGGTCAGAAATAATAATAGCAATGTAGACTGAACATTATAATAATATTTCAGAGAAATCGAAAAGGTTAATCCAATGTTTCTCGAAGTAAGTTCTGTGAAACCTTGACATTCTATGAAAACTCGCCAAGAATTCTGCAAAAGGATCCTACGTCAGCCTAATTTTGTATACATATAGAGTTGTATAAGTCATTTCGAATTATTAAAACTGCGTTAAAAGATCATTTGTAGTTAATGCTCTGGTTGTAAGAGTACCCAAATAAATATTATCCAGTATCGGCGTAATCAACGTGTTAAAACATACTGTCATGATGTATTGTAAAAAAAAGAATAAATATTGTGAAATAGTACATCTAAATATTTAAATTGACAAATTTTCGAATTTTCATGTTACTTCAAAAAGAGTTTCAGGTTTAATGTTGTGGGAATGTATGTTGTGTACTACTGGAGATCACGAACGACGTAGTTCTGCGGTAGTCGGAAGAACTTCGTCTTTTTCATCTTGAATGTTATTCCAGATAATATGCACATAATTTATGGGTATGCTGGTTTATCGTTTACTCTTTGTGTCAATTTTTAGGTCTGTTTGTAATACAAAAAGCAACAGTGGCTGAAACAGACAAGAACAAGACTCCTTCTCGAAGTGGATACTCAAGAAACAGAGTCAGAGTCGAGTTTTGTTTAAGATTAGACCTTTCTAATTCGGATTTCTTTTTTATTCGGATCACGTCATGCTCTCGTCACCATTTAAAAATATCCTTTCAGATCTCGGACGTAGTAGTCATGTCAGTAGATTTCTGTTTCTAGAGAAACATCTTCTAAAAAGTATGATCATTGAATGTTTATTTTACCTCAAGACTGCATGTTTGCTGTTCCTCAACTTGGTTTCTGAATTCTTAATGCGTATTACATCCCATACCATCATGTATTAAATTCTAATTCTTTTAAACTTTTCGTCATTTTCAACGCCTCCTGTAAGGGTGTTTCCATACATTGTGTGGCAAGTGCGAATGTCTGTCACTTTACCCTTTGGGAAAAGTCTATATGTGTCTATATGCATATATGTAATGATAGAGATGAGGTTTCCGCTAAGAATGATTTGATATTTCTGACATTGTATATGGCATGTTTACTTTATTTGAATATTTCACCACTCTGTCAACAATCCAAACCATAGTCACATACATCTTGCGTTTTATTGATGCATGTAAAATTCCAATACTTTTGACGTTTTTACAAATCTAAAATAATCATTTCTCCGAGATATTTCATCAAATAAGATCATCAGTTTTTTTATAAAGATTTTCAATCGTTTTACTATTCATTTTACTGTCTTCTCGTTGATTTTGGGTGTTAAGTTTCTATGATTGGTTCGTAGTTTTAAATGCGGCAACCCATGAGGATAACCACAACCGGTGTTCATTACGAATTCCCTTTCTAGTGTAATATTTTTATTAGCTATGTTTATTCAGTCCACCGGGTTGGCTGGGGTTGATGTTGGTTTAACGGTACGTAGTGGATCTCGGCAGTGGCATATTCAGAAACTCTACCTGGGGAAGGGGGGAATCCCCCTCACAAAAGCCATAACCACAATGGAAATCCACAAAAGCCATAACCAGTAGCCTATTTACTCTAGAGATTCTTTCAGCATTTGTTAATCTCAGTTTCATTAGAGCTAAAGTTATTTCATTTATTGTGATATGGCAGTGCTTCCGATGCTTGGTAGGCAATACTCTTTTTTCGAGTAAGTATTTCTAGCTCCGCTTCTCTTATGATGTTTTCTTTGTTTTGGCCAGTTATGGGCGCTGGGTAAATATCCAGCGGGTAAGTATTTATAAAATGGGTATCTATCTGGGTATTTACCCCGGCCCAGGGTAAATAACCAAACAGTACATACAAAAATAATACAAGTAAAAATATAAAAGATTCGGAAAAAAATGTAGAGGAAGATGATGAAATAATTGTCAACGATCGAAGACGTATTACAATCGTGCGACGATGATCCGCCCAATTCCACTTGAGCTTTGCTACAATGTTGACCACATCATTTACGCCAGTTCTTCTTCGTAGGTCTTCATTTCGTATGTAGTCAGGGTTACACCCAGCATCGACCTCTCCATCTTTCTTTGCGTTACTTTGAGCTTCCTGGTAGTGGCCACGGTTAATGTTAAAGTTTCGGAGCCGTACATCATAACCAAAGGAAGAAGCACGCATTAATTGAAAGCCTTTCTTTTGAAATATACAGGAATATCGCTTATGAAGATGTCTCTAAGTTTCCCGTGGCTGTCCATGCGAATGTCATCCTTCTGTTTAGTTCGCTTGTTTGATTATCTCTCGATACACGACCTCACGACCAAGATATACATAACTGTCAACCTTCTCAATCTCATTATCCCCAATATTGATGTTAGAGCTGGGAACAAGATTTGTCATAAATTTTGATTTCTCCACGTTGATTTTTAGCCCGACTCTTGCACACCTCCTGTAAGTCGTTCAGCATCAGTTTCATCTCTCCAAGGTTCTCCGAAATAATCGTCCGCGTAGCGCAAATTACTTAGGTATTGCCATCAATGTTTATACCTTTTTGGGTCCAATCCAGTTGTTTAAATGCACTCTCCAGGAGTGTGATGAACAATTTGGGTCAACATTGTATCGTCTTGTCTTACCCCACGCCCAATGGGTATTCGGTCAATGCTTTCATGCAATTTTACCGTCATTGTACACAGGCAAAAATCGTGTCGTGTAAAAATTTTAGAGTAGTTGGTAAAAAGAATTAGAGTAAAAATTGTAATACCACATGGTAAAAACAACTCTAATGATAAATGTAAATGATATAATGTAAATACACTATATTTAATATTAATATAGAGTTCATATATTATTCACTTAATAGAGTAGTTTTTACAGTTCTCTAAAGGAGAGTTCTTTTTTACTAATGTTAGTGAAGTTATGTAATATACAGTGTGTCCCCGGATTGTGTTCCCGTAAGGTATAATGGACAAATTCCATCTTTTGCAATTAAAGTCTGGAAGTCATAAAACAAAATATAACCAAATTTGACGTCAAATATCCAAAGTTATCAAATATCAAAGTACCAAAGGTAACGCAAGAAGTTTGTTAACCGTTGCAGGTAAAGTGGTCTTTCTGAGCAATGTACAATAAAAGTTGATTAAGATAAAATGTTTGTTATGTTAAATCATAGCGATATGCCCAATTTTATTAATTTAGCATATAAGAGAAAAAATGAGTTTTTTCTTGAAAATGTTTTTCTAATATTACGTTTTACAATAAAAACAAATGATTTGAGTGATTGAACTTTTTTAAAAAACATAATATTTTCGGACGAAGCATCGTTCACCACTAATGGAGTGGTTACATCACAAAATTGTTGATTCTGGTCAAAGACTAATCCACATTATCGCATCGCTTGTAAATGCCAGTATTCCCAGAAAGTGAATGTGTGGTGTGCTGTTTCGTGGGACAGTGTTGTTGGGCCTCACTTCATAAACGGCAATTTGAATCAACACCGATATTTGGAAATACTAGAAAATTATTTATTTAATTATCTTCACGGTGGGTATTTAGAAAAACATTAGAAATTATTTAAATACGTTATTTGGAAAAAAATGGATCGGTAGATATGGTCCGCAACCATAACCGCCAAGAAGTCCGGATTTATCTATGATGGACTTTTATTTTTGGGGTTATGTAAAACAAAAAGTGTACACTGAAAATTTTAATAACAATTTAGACCGTTTTAAACAAAAAATTGAAACTGTTATTAGAGAAATTCCGTTGGACCATATTAGAAAAAATTATAAACAATTTCGGAAAATGGCAGAATTACGTGTTAGTGTTGGTGGTGGTATCATTGAATAAGTAAGCTTTTATGTTAATTTAGTTTAGATCGAAAATGTTTTGTTAATCTTATGATTTAAAAATCTGCATTTTGCTTTTATATCATAAATTAATAAAATTCAGCATATCGCTATAATTTAACATAGCAAATATTTTATCTTAATCAACTTTTGTTGTACAATGTTCAGAAAGACCACTTTACCTGCAACAGTTAACAAACTTCTTGCGTTAACTTTGATACTTTGAGGACATTTGATTGTAAAAGATGGAATTTGAATTCAAAAATTTTTCGTCAATTATACCTTACGGGGACACAATCCGGGGTCACACTGTATAAAACATTAAATTTTACACAAGACGTGTAAACTGTACTTTTCCTTCAGGTACTTCGTAGGCATCGCACTATTTTGCTCGGGATTACTCGTCGGTACCACGTGATCAACATGTGGTGTGATACAGCTAAAATTTAACGGTCATCTACTGAACGAGTCGGAACTCAACAGCGTCTCGAGACCTGATTTACGCGATATAAAAAGAAAGAACGATTATTTTTATTTTAATTATGTTTGCCAAACATTCGTGTTGTGAAATTAGTGAAACTTCCGGAAGATTTTACGTACGAGTTCCTTGCGAAGATTGGTAAGTATGTACAACTATACATACAGAAAACTTATAGAAGACTCATTAGATGAGTGTAGGAAGTTAGCCCCCCATTTTTTGATTTTTAAATTTTTTATTGTTGTTCTAGATTGTTCTAGAGTTGTTCTACATTGTTCCAAAGCGGCAAATCGAAAAAATAAAAACTCCGCGAGAAAACCGAAAAAACATGTTTTTTGACTAGCCCCCCATTTTTGGAAAAATCAAATTTTCTTTGTTGTTCTGGGTTGTTCTAGTTGTTAACATTAGTGAACTTACCTACTTTGTTTCAATGGCAGACATTATACCTATCTTTAAAAATCCTCGAAAAAAGTTGGGCTATATCGATTAATAAAAAGCGGATTATCTTGAACACGATCAACTTTAGCGCATTTTGATAAAAAACAACAATTTAGTACAATTTTAGTTTATTGTATCAAGTGTCAAATCACCAGTAGTTGTTGATCAGTGTTAAATTAATTTTTCTTATTCGTTAACGTGCTAAATTCATTACTCTTTTTCATAATCGTGTTAAATGGTTTTTTTTTCATTTTTTAATTTTTTGTTTGCTGCATAAAAACTTTATAAAATTCCGTTTATTTTTCCTAAATAAGAGAATACCCGGTAAGTATTCATTTTGTTTATGGGTTTGCAAACGGAAATTCAGCAGAAGTAGCCCTAGAGCATAGGAGAAGATATCCAAATACAAGACATCTGCATCCTTCTGTGTTTATGAAAGTGTATAGGCAAATAGTTGAACAAGGACTAAATAATGACGGGTAGATCGTAATAATGACAATGTTAGACTGCAAAGAAACTTTAGAAGAAGAATTTTGCGTGAGTTGACGTGGGATTGTAAACTTTCACAATTTACATGTTTTGGTACCCCTAGGCAATTCGGCCACGAAACTTCCAACATGAATTTAGTGTCAACGTCTGGGTAGGTGTTTATAATAATCATCTTTTCGGGTCATACTTTTTGCCACCACAACTAAGCGCTGCGGCGTTCTTGTAATTTTTGGTAGCCGAACATGCCAATATGCGGGATGACATTGATTTAGCTTTAAGGAGAAAGGCCTGGTTCAACTTGATGATTGTGCTGCTTATCATGGTAGGGTGGTAAGAAATTGGCTAGACAACCATTTTCCTGCAAGATGGATTGGTCGAGGTGGACCAGTCGCATGGCTCCACGATCTGCATATCTTAATGCTTTAGATTTTTTTGTATGGAGTTATTTGAAAGGAAAATTGTATGAGACACCTGGTCCCACAAGGGATGAACTTTTAATAGGATTAGGTATGCTTCTAATGATGTAAAGCTGTTCTTAAATACCAGTACTCGATCAGTAATTCGTCTGTCAGAATTATGCAAGCAAAATTATTGCCTTTTCAACAATTTTATTTCTTTAAATTTTTTCTTTTATTATTTAGAATAAAAAACATTAGTAAACTAAAACATTAGTTAATATACCTACTTTGTTTCTATGGCACACATTGTTTTAACTATCTTTAATTATCCTCTAAAACATTCGTCTGTATCGAATAGTAAAAAGCGGATTATCTTGAAAACGATAAACTTTTGCGCATTTTGATAAGAGTACCCTTTTTGCTAAAAAGCCAAAAAGTATACCGTCAGAAAAGTTATTGTTATTTTAATCCGCAAAGAATACGTTACAGAGCGCTCTCTACCGGCTATAGTAACACGGACTCCATAATCGTCTTTCTCATGCCAAAAAAAAACCCGTATAGCAAATTTGAAAAGAATCGGTTGAAATACACGTGTAATATTAAATAAAAATCAATTTAAAAATTTAATTTGAACACCCTGTATCTCCAAAACAAAGCGTTTGTCGACCTATGTTTATATGAAGTTTTTGTGTTAATTTTAAAAGATATATCGACTGTTAGAGTCCTGCTACAAAAACCTGAAACAGCCCGTATACTATATTCCATACATAATGGGCATCCTGTAGTTATAATACCCCACGATATTTGGTACTGTTTCGTGTGAAATAGAATGTATGATAAATATTCTGGATTATATTCTCACTAGGTTGGTTATAATAATCGTTGGGATATAATTGTTTATGGCTAACGTTTTTTTGGTTCATTACAAATAATTTTTGATCAAAATTGTTGCCTATCATTTTTACTTTTATATGAATTATAATTAGATATTTTACCAAAAATTGTCAATTTTGAGTTTTTATAGCTGGAAAGAAGTGGGTTATACCATATTAATATTTTGGGAAGAAACTTAAAATATGTTTATTAATGTTTATTTATATTCGGTAGACATTAAATTGTCCTTTAGGATTACTTTTAATGTTTCATAAAACACATTTCGACGATCAGTCTGAGTGACTATTGTATTTCTTTGTGTTCGTGACTACCTTAATTTTCCCTAGAACTTTAGTTCACGTTTACTTCGAAACCGTTTACAAACTACCTGCAGTACTCTTTCTGTTTTTAACCATAAAAAGTTAAGCAGGTAGACGAATATAGTAACAATAGTAAGTATTCATCCAAACTATGCTTAAAACATTATTTCATGGTGTATATTCGTGTTTAAACATAAACGATGTAATTAGTAAAGGATACGAGTAAATATTGATATCTTTTGTAGTTTCTGAACATTACAATATATCTCACAAATCGCATAATGCACTTTAAAATGCTATTACTGTCATAAAAAACACTCATCTTTTCAAAAACTTAAGTAATGGTATAACATTATTCATTCTATCTTTCTATATATAGAAAGTTAAGCAGGTAAACGAACGGTATTCACCTAAATATACAAACTATAGTACTCGTCCAAACTAACACTTGTTCCAGATGGAATACACCTGTTGTAAAGTAAACAACAAAATTAGGACAAAACGAAAATTTCTATGCAAAAGAGGAACATATTCTTGGCGAGGATCCCTCAGTTTTCGTACAAAACATTGACCAACCTAATGACGTCGACCAATTAATTATTTAAAGTTAAATACACACATTTTCGAGCTGACCTGCGCTGTTTGAAGTAAAAACAGACGTTAGTCTCTATTATTGTCACCTGAAGCCAAGATTAGAAATTTATTTCTGTAAAATTTGTTTTTGAGTAGCTCTAATTAGAATGTTATTTATGTGTGTAAAATAACTTTAGGGTTTTCGAAAATAAAAACACGTTTTTTTTGTCTATTTAATTTTTAATTATTTTCATTAAATAATATACACTAAACTGAAAATTTATTACAGTGACTATAAATAATCTCAAATAGAACTATCGAAAGGAGTCTCTATCAATCAAATAAAAGTGAGGCAGTTATTGAACAGAAAACGATTTCGTTCGTCGTCATGTGGGCGTTATTCTGAGAAATAAATATGATTAATAACGGAAGTCAAACGTTTTGGGCATTTTTTCTTTTATGAATCAAGAGGTTTTCTGGATACGTTCCAAATATTTACACTTTTCCCTTTTTTATCTGGGTATAAAGCAGTCGATACATTTTTACTATTTATAACGTTCCATGAAATACAAAGGATAACTTTTTTAATACGCAATACGTTCATTGTTTACTAAAAGTCAAATAAACTATGTTCGTGTATTTTTCCTGGTATGTTATTGAAGTGATTTCAAAACATTTTAGTTTTAGCTTTTATACGTGCGTTCAAACAAACATTCCAGGACAAAAACTAAATCAATAATACCAAATGAAAAATCCTACGTTCAACCCTATAACATTTTCAGAAGTAAATCGAACTGGAGCCGGATTAATCGGGCGTATACTGGTATTTGTGTTGCGATCTCAATTGGAAAACAAATAGAGAAAGAAAACCATCGCGTGATACTATTGAGTTGAGTTAAAAAATATATTTCTTGGAAATTTCATGTTTAATGAAACACCTTTTTTTCAAAATTGCGCTTAACAAGGCCCGATTGTTATTAGAGTATGCAACTAAATGTACTTGAGAGTGTTGCCTATCCGTTATAGTGAAACAAATAATTTATTAATTTTAGTAATAGTTCTTTACCTTCATAAATAATTTACTTAATGTCATTTTATTGATCCGTGGAAAAACCCTCACTTTATTATTTATATAATAACTCGAATCTAAATACTCGAAATCCCAAGTTACTATTTTTTTAGAATTCTTAGAATAACTAATTTTTCTTTTTTTCTATTAATTTATTTTTACAAAAAATATAATAATATGATAATAAGGTCGAGAATCCTGCTTATTATCAAATCAATACGTAAGCTCACCATAAGCTTGTTCATGCGTGGTGGACTTCTTCAATCAAAAGAACCATTCCGTGGTTACATTTCACAGGATTTAGATTGACGAACTCATCGTCCCAATAAAAAAAAAACACTTTATCACAAATAATGAATTTGGAAAATAAAGTAGCTATTGTCACTGGAGCTAGTGGAGGAATTGGGCAAGAAATTGTCAAATCACTTTTAAAAATAGGAATGCAGGTCAGAAAAAGATAAACTTATTTTTAATTTTGTTTAATGTTATATAATTTTTTTAGGTTGTCGGTTTAGGAAGACAAACTGATAAAATAGAATCCTTAGATGATGGTTCTGGAAACCTTCATGCATTAAAAGTTGATATAAATAACGAAGAAGAAATTATGGAGGCGTTTAGCTGGATTTCTTCGAATTTGGGCGCGATTTACGTTCTGGTTAATAACGCTGGTGTCATGCCGCCATCGGGTATACTCGAGGGAAAGTCCGAAAATTGGAAATCCATAATGGATGTTAACGTTGTCGCTGTGGCAGTTTGCGCACGCGAGGCCATAAATAACATGAAAGTGTACGACGTTGAAGGTCACATCGTTAACATTGGAAGTACTTTGGGCAATTACAGCAGCCATTTGGAAGACGTTACACTTTATGCCGCTTCCAAGTTCGCCGTCGGCGCTTTGACCGAAAATTTACGATTAGAACTTATCAGAGCCGGGACAAAAATTAGGGTCACTGTATAAATCATTTCGTTTTTGTATACTTATTTTCGGAAACTTACAATCTTTTATTCTTTTAGACTGTGAGTCCAGGTCTTGTTCAAACTACTTTGATTCATAGTTATAAAAGTAATGTTCCTGCGGAAGAAATTGACGAGTTTGTTAACAGCGTACCACATCTTAAACCTGAAGATGTAGCTAATGTGGTTACTTTTGTTATAACTCAACCTCAACATCTTCAAGTAAGAAAACAATTTTAAAAAGTATTAAATTTTATTTTGTACTTTTGTACTTTTAGATTTGTGAAGTAATAATGAGAGCAACCGGAGAGGCCACACCTTAATGTTTATTAATTAATTTAATCCATTATTTTTTGTTTCTATTCTTTTAATTTAAAATGTAACATTTTGAAAACTATAAATACTTTACAATACTTATAAAATAATTCCCAACACATCTAATGAATGGTGTCTTTGAATGTAAATACGCTCGTTCAAGCACGTCTGTCAAGTTGGCATTACATCTTGCGATTTGAATTAAAAAACACTATTGCATTAATTGTCGTATTATTAATTTGTTGTAATTTGTCGTACAGTTTACAAATTTGTCGCTTCCTTTTTTATAAACAATATTTGAGTAGACTTTAGTTAAAGGTTGCGGTCTTAACGTACTTTATTTAACTAAGGTCTATTTTCAAACTGATTGTGAAATTACGCCTATGAATTCAAAAACGAAAACCTATTTTTTAATTTGCTTGCATTTTAATTTACAAAATAGGTGCAATTGCAGCAGGAACCAGCCAAGACCACACTCCAGTAGCGAAAAGGCAACGTTGCGGAGATGAAACTGATGAAGAGTCAGATGCAGAAGATTTTAGGGCCTTAAAGAAAAAGGTGTTATTGAAGCAACTAGATGTTGCAACTGTACAAATATCTTGTGCCAATAGCATACAAGAATCGTTCGCTACCATACAGAAAGCTGTAACATCTTTGTCTAATTCTTTGGAAGAGTTGGTTAATCAGATTATTTAAAAAAATAACAGTACTACTGTATTACCACTCGATACTCTGAACTTATAACTTATCCTAAACAAGGGTGATTACTAATTAAAGATTGAAGTTATTGTTTGTACCCTTGACCAGGACAATTTATATTCACGGCAGTATAAGAAATAACCGGCGAAACGATAGCAACAAACCGCCCAGCAACAAACTTTTTCCTTTATATTTCCACCTACTTCTAGGGCCCATATCTTCGTTATCTAGAAAGATAGCGAAAAACTAAGCACACGGTTGGAAAGCTTGGTCGTTTTTCTATCTTAAACCGCCGATATGTTGATAATGAGAGCAAGAAAAAATAAGAAACGTCGCGCTGCAACAAATTTTTGCCGCGGCTAAACCACGCTTGGGTCAATAACTCTCTTATATGACGGGGAGAAAACTCTAGAACTATGTTCATTTTATGGGAAATTTTCTGCTCTTTTCATCGGTATATAACACATCTCAATCACACGTTTGCACAATCGTTTATCAGCCCAACAACAAACTTTTCCCTTGTATTTCCGTCTAGTTTTCGGGCCAATATTTTGGTTATCTAGAAAGATGGCGAAAAATTAAGAACACGTTTGAAAAGATTGGTCTTTTCTCTATCTTAAACCAAGTTTTCGTCCGCCGATATGTTGATGATAAGAGCAAGAAAAAATATAAGAAACGTCGCGCTGTATTCAATTTACCTCAAAATTATCAAACTTCACGGCCTTGTGCAGCCGTTGCCAGATGAAAATTCAATAAATGGTTTATATATTCGGAAAGAGCTGACCTTGGACTATCTTATTCCGAGTTTTCGTCCGCCAATTTCTATCAGCGTCTGTAAGAAAAACGCACCTGAAAAAGCCCCTACCGATGAAAACACATACGTATTTCTTGCACTAATAACTTTCCTATTTGACGGGGGAAAACTCTACAACTATATTCAGCTTATGGGAAATTTCCTGCTCTTTCCAACGATGTGTGACACGCCGTGATTACACGTTTGCACAATTCTTTTTTCTAACTAAGAACTACCTAAACCACGAATTTTTGCCGCGGCTAAACCACGCTTAGGTCAATAACTCACTCTCTTGTATGACGGGGAGAAAACTCTAGAACTATATTCATCTTATGGGAAATTTTCTGCTCTTTCCAACGGTGTCCGACGCACTTCGCTTACGCGTTTGCATACGCGTTTTTTAAATTGATGAACTGAGTTAAAATGCAAAGTTGGTAACGTTACCAGATTCAAAACCATCAAAACACAATTCAACAATTCGAGTCTAAAATCACTCAAATTCTTCCAGATTCTGATAAAATAGGTGTAACATGAAATAATCTTTCCTTTTTGAACAGTTTAACATGTTTCTAAACGTAAAACTAAAACTAGAACTAACACTAGCACTATCAGTAGAACTAACACTAGACCTAGAACTAGAAACTTTCGGGTTCCAACTAGTTTTCTGAAGAAGGTTGCGACATGGCACCCGAAACGTCAAACATTTGTTCAAAAAACGCATGGCTCAACCCGAAAGTTTCTAGTTCTAGGTCTAGTGTTAGTTGTAGTGATAGTGCTAGTCTTAGTTTTATTAACATCGTCCGTGAAAGCCTTCGTACTTATATGTTTTTAAACGGTTTTAAATAAATTAAGACTGAATGAAAAATTATCTGTCAACATGAAATGAAGTTAGGATTCTCTCTCGGGTAAAACTTTGTTCCAAGTTTTCCTTCATCAAATAAGAAAGTTAGGGTAAGAAGTGATTGCGTTCTGCTACCTGTAGGTTGTCTTTCAGGTGCGTTTCATTTACAGACGCCGTCAATATCTGCCGGCGTCTGTAAAAACTCAATGAAAACTAATGAAAACTCGAAATAAGACTAAGAAATAAGAATTTGTTGAATTTCCTTCTGATAACGGCTGCACAAGGCCTTAAAGTGGGGCAATTTTGAGGTGATTTAAATGAAAAGACCAAGCTTTCCAACCGTGTGCTTAGTTTTTCGCTATCTTTCTAGATAACGAAGATATGGGCCCTAGAAGTAGGTGGAAATATAAAGGAAAAAGTTTGTTGCTGGGCGGTTTGTTGCTATCGTCTCGCCGGTTAAGAAATATTTACTTTAATAGTAATAATACATCTTTAAGTGGTTGTTGTTTATTTGTAATACATACATATATTCTTATAAGAAAATAAAGTTTAACGTTTGTTATTAAAACAGTTATTTTAAAGCAGTGAAGCTATTCTATTTTGAAATTCTATACCGTGTTGCCTAATCTGGGCAGCATAGCGCTCCAAATATACATTAGGAATAATATGAAGATCTTGAAGAACTTTTACACAATTATGTGAAATAAATTCACTTTGTATATATCGTGAAACTCGATCAGTTTTCAATCTTATTGTATAATGCACCATAGGGAATCTTCTCTTTAATTGTCCAAAACAACGTTCAATTCTGGACCTTTCTTCTTGATGAAATTGATTGTATCGTTGCTCTACGTTTGTCATCGAATAGGCATATGGAGTTAACATCCAAGGTGTCAAAGCATAGCCTTTGTCGTCCAGTAAACATAAATCTTGGTTGTGATTAAGTATGATTGGATATATAGATGAATTGTGCCATATACGGCTGTCATGGACTGACCCAGGCCATGAAGCATCAACACTCGTAAATATCGCTTTCGCATTACATGTTGCTTGAACATTAATACTACACACTCCTTTTCGGTTAACGTATTCATTTCCGTGATTTACTGATTTTGAAATCTTTTACAGGTGCAGTCAATTGCTCCAATAACATTGGGTATATGAATGTTAGCAGCCCATTCTTCAGCAGCTCTGTTTAATTCTTTACGAGTAGCAGGATATTTTATCCAAACATTTCTTTTATTAAATGGAAACTTGAAATGTGAATGGAAACTTTTTTGATTATTTTGGATACTGTTGAATGGCGAATCCCTAAATCCATGCCAACACCTATTTGAAATCCCGGGTCTCCTTAATAAATGTATAAAATGAGAAGTAAAGTGATATGTGTAAAATAAAATTGAAACTCAGCAAGACTTCTCAAGTCCGCCACGTTTGCTGTCGGTTTCCCCTGGTGTAAAATGGTTAGCTAGCTACACAACATTTCTTTTGTTAAATCTAATAGAAAATCACATTTCTGTAACACGAATTATATATACCCTTACGAATTATATATAGTTACCTACCTAAATAATTTTCGATACAGCTCGTCGCATTCTACTGTCCATCTAGGCAGGTAATGTTTTCTTTTTTTCTTAGGCCTTCCGCTATGTTTAATACTGTAGCATCGTAGCAAGATTAACGAAGCTGGCGTTTCATAAGCTACCGTTGAAATAGAGTACATGCTACTTTGTATACGTGTAGTATGTAGTTTGTAGCATGTATACTTTGTAGCATGTACTTTCCTTCGTAGTAAAAACTTCGATTTTCCGCGCAACAAACTACCGATAAAGTAACTTCCAGGNACAATTATGTGAAATAAATTCACTTTGTATATATCGTGAAACTCGATCAGTTTTCAATCTTATTGTATAATGCACCATAGGGAATCTTCTCTTTAATTGTCCAAAACAACGTTCAATTCTGGACCTTTCTTCTTGATGAAATTGATTGTATCGTTGCTCTACGTTTGTCATCGAATAGGCATATGGAGTTAACATCCAAGGTGTCAAAGCATAGCCTTTGTCGTCCAGTAAACATAAATCTTGGTTGTGATTAAGTATGATTGGATATATAGATGAATTGTGCCATATACGGCTGTCATGGACTGACCCAGGCCATGAAGCATCAACACTCGTAAATATCGCTTTCGCATTACATGTTGCTTGAACATTAATACTACACACTCCTTTTCGGTTAACGTATTCATTTCCGTGATTTACTGATTTTGAAATCTTTTACAGGTGCAGTCAATTGCTCCAATAACATTGGGTATATGAATGTTAGCAGCCCATTCTTCAGCAGCTCTGTTTAATTCTTTACGAGTAGCAGGATATTTTATCCAAACATTTCTTTTATTAAATGGAAACTTGAAATGTGAATGGAAACTTTTTTGATTATTTTGGATACTGTTGAATGGCGAATCCCTAAATCCATGCCAACACCTATTTGAAATCCCGGGTCTCCTTAATAAATGTATAAAATGAGAAGTAAAGTGATATGTGTAAAATAAAATTGAAACTCAGCAAGACTTCTCAAGTCCGCCACGTTTGCTGTCGGTTTCCCCTGGTGTAAAATGGTTAGCTAGCTACACAACATTTCTTTTGTTAAATCTAATAGAAAATCACATTTCTGTAACACGAATTATATATACCCTTACGAATTATATATAGTTACCTACCTAAATAATTTTCGATACAGCTCGTCGCATTCTACTGTCCATCTAGGCAGGTAATGTTTTCTTTTTTTCTTAGGCCTTCCGCTATGTTTAATACTGTAGCATCGTAGCAAGATTAACGAAGCTGGCGTTTCATAAGCAACCGTTGAAATAGAGTACATGCTACTTTGTATA